CGCAGTGTCGTCAGAAGGACGTCAGCGCGAAGGGGATCGCCAATGCGGGGGAGCTGTTGAAGAGGCTGTTGACGCGTGCAGCGTGCACGAAGCAGTTCGCTCGGCAGCCGCGCATCAGCGACAGGCAAGAGAGTGATCACTCCACGAGGAACAGTGCAGTTATATGCGCGGAGTGCATTGTCGTCGGCTTCGCGGCTCGGAACTCGCAAGCGTAGGAGTGCTTCGGTGGAAGCTCCCAACATTTCAGTTCGCGGGTGGGCCGGATTTCGCGCGTGCCCACCAAAGCCGCACGCTCGAGTGCAAAGCCTGCGCGTGCGACCCGTGGCAGCGCTTGTGGCAGCGCGCGAGTGCGCGGTGCCGTCAGGGGGAACAGGAACAGCAGGGGGCAATGCAAAGGAAGGGGTGTGCGTCGATGTTTCGGTTTGGAGGCCAAGGGATGGAAACTATCATGGGGGCGGTATGCAGTGGGTCGAATTGCCGAGTTTCACATTGTCGGTGCGGTTGAGCTCCGTGACAGTGTCTCGCAGCCTTCGGCCCATCCCCCCGGCGTGCCTGGGTTGTGAGTATGAAGCATCGGGAATGTCCGTAGGAATCTCGCGGGGAGGGTTCTCGCGAGCCTTTGGGCGTCAGTTTTGAAGGCTCCTGGGCGCCGTTCCAGGGCCTCTTTTCAGCCTCTTGGAGACTTTTGGGGCCTTTTGTGTGTGCCTTTTGGAGGCCTCTGGGCTTCCTGGGGGCCACTTGTGGCCTTTCCTGAGGCCGTCTTGGAGCGCCTGAGTGCCGTCTTGGGCGCCGCTGGGGTCGTCTTGGAGCTCTCTTGGGCCGTGTGGAGGGAATATTGTGAAAGTTTTGGGCCGTCTTGGAGCGATTTTGGGTGCCTCGCGGGTGTTCGCCCACGCCGCGAAGGTCGAAGAGGCGTGTATGCGAAAGGTGTACGATCCCCATTGGAATTCGACGATTTCGGCTTCTTGGGGGCTTCGTGGGAAGCCCCTTGGAGGCCTCTTGGGGAGTCTTCGCAGCTTCTTGGGCGTCTTGGATCGATCATTCGGCGACTTGGGGGTGTATTGGGAGGCTTGACGAGTTGTCTTGGAGCTCCAGGCGGGGCCTGCGGGGCCCGGGCCGCCCCTGATGTGTTCGGGGGTGGGTCGGATCCGACGGGGGGGGGGGTCAAATTGCCGGTTTGGGGTCCCAGGGGGGGCTTCTGGGGGGGGGGCAGTCTCGCGCGCCTCGAGACCCACAAGGGGTCGGCGGACTTCGCAGCCTCCACGTTTTCCCACAGCATTCTGGTGTGGCCCGCGCGCGGCCTTAGTATCCTCTTGGAACACATCGCCCGCCGCCTTGGCTGCGAGGCGGCGCAGCACGCTCCCGCGTGCGATAGGCCGGAGGCCCCCGTTGCGCTTGCGGAAAGCCACCACGCGCGCATTCAGGTTGGCTCGCATGGCTTCTGGGGAGAGCATCCCGCAGAGGAAGAGGACCGTCACCTTGGCGACTGCGTCGAGAGCTGCAGCGTCTTTCAGGAGACTGCGCCAGTGTTCAAACCAGCCACCGTTGGGCCCTAGCCCCGATTGCCGCGGGCTCCGGCCGAGGTGGCGCTTGACGACCGCGGCCAAGTCGCTGCTGGAGTCCTCGCCTTTGCGCCCGAGAGGTCCTGGAGGCCTGCCTGCAATCCCGCCCCCGTGGCCACTGTGGCCGGCTGGAAGCCGCGGGTCATGGCCTTGCTGACCAGGCCCTCGCCGACCAGTGCCTCGACCGCCTTTGCGTCTTTCTCGGGGGGGTCGGCGCGCCGAGGTCGCCGCGGCGTGGTCCCGGCCGCTGCGTGCGCTTCCATCCAGAGTGCGGCCCAGTCGCCGGCCTCCGCGAGGCGCGGGCGTCGTGTGAAGATGGCTGCGCGACCCCCGGTGTTCCTTCCTGCCTTGCGCCCACCTGTGGTCCTGCCGGGCTTGAAGAAGACGACCCGGTCGGTAGAATTTTTTTGTGCGTCGGAGCGTAGTCGCGTCCCCGCTGTCGATGGCCTGCAGGAGGCGCTCCGCCATCCGGCCCCGGAGTTGCGCAAGGGCAGCCCCCGCCGTGTCTCGGACGTGGAGTTCGGTCGCCACGTGGTGTCGGAGGTCATCGTAGTCCACGGTGTCCCACCAGGCCAAGTTGTGGGGGAATTCCCTATCCTTCGCGGGATCCTCTGGCAGGTTGGCTGGGCCCCCGTCGTCTGCGTCGAGCAAAGGGGCGCCAGGGGTCTGCCTTGGCCCGTTTGGCCCGGCGTGTGTCTTCGACGTATTCCGCTGTCGCGGTCCTGCCTGGCTGGTCACAGCATTCGCGGACGGTTTCCGCTTGCTCCGCCGCGAGGAGGCCAGCGCCCCCAAGTTGGTCGAAGGGCCCAAGCCCTCCCTCGACGCAGCGCGTGTGATAGTACAGCTTGTTCGCGCGGTCGGGGTTGAACACCCGCATATCGCCCTTTTCGATGCGATCCCCGCAGCCAGCCGCCCGACAGAGGCAAACCCGCCTCGAGCGCAAGGCGTCCACGGCCCACTTGGTGACCAGGGCGTCCCGTCCAGATGGCGGTATGGATCGAGGGTGCGGATCCGGCGGCGGCGGCGGCGGCTCCCCTCCGGCCTCGTCGTTGGGGAAGGCTGGCCATTGGCACGCGGCCACGAGCAGCATGCCGGCGAGTGGCGACTGGGCTGCCGAGGGCCCCGTTTCCCGCCGCGACCACGCCTGCGTTGACAATCGGCGCATCCAGGAGCGAACGTGTACGTCTCCAGCTATGACCCCCAAGGCGGCGAGGCCGACGATCGCGCGCCACCCTCCGGGTAGAGCCGCCCGCGACGCCACCCATGGCACCAGGCTCCTGGAGACCACCGCGCTGATCTGCATTGCGGGGGCCTGGCTGCCGAGGGCGCCGCGCGCAGCCACACGTCTGGGCCCATGGCGAGGAGGATATCTCGAAGCGACAGTTCACAAAACACCTAAGTAAGAAGGTACGCCGCGTCCAAGAGAACATCAGTACACAGCCCCGTCGGTGGAGGGAACGAGTCCGGCGTGTCTTGGGCCGACGGGCCGGTGCCGGGTTGGCCCGACTGGGCCCCCGACGCCACGGCAGCGTACGACCGCACGTGCCGCATGTAGAATAACTCGGCGCTGTCAGTGCGGTGGCCCTGCAGAGGTGTCTCCAGGGTGCGCGGAGCCCAAAGTCTGGCCGCCCGGCTGCTCTCCATCGTGCTGCGCATTGGCCTGCTGCCAGCGCCGGTCCTGCCGTTCTCCTTTGTGGTCCTGAGCCCGCTCGCGCGGGTCAGCGCAGATGTCGAGGTGAGGCAATGCAACAGGATGGGGTAGCTTGGGATCTGAGATCGTGGCAGGGCCAGAGCTTTGAAACGCACGGCGTGTGAGCGGCGTGTGAACGCTCTGGTACCGATTGCGTTGCGTTGCTCTGCGTCATGTTCGTGCCGCTTTCAGCTGAGCTGGACCCTGTCGTGCTCGTCAACGTAGTGCTGCTCGACTCTGCAGTGCTCGTGCCCGGGGTCCTCGACCCTGTTGTGCTCGTCACCGTCGCGCTGCTCGACTCTGCAGTGCTCGAGTCCGTGGTGCTTGACCCTGTGGTGCTCGTCGACGCCGACCTGCTCGACTCTGTAGTGCTCGGGTCCATGGTGCTCGACCTTCTTGTGCTCGACCGAGTGATGCTGTCGGTAGCGGACGTAGTCGTGACTATCGTGGTGCTTCTCTCACTCGTACTGCCCACCGACGTGCTCGACAGAGTGGTGCTGCTGGTGGCGGTCCTAGTCGTGACTCTCGTGGTGCTGCTTTCACTCGTACTGCCCACCGACGTGCTCGACAGAGTGGTGCTGCTGGTAGCGGTTGTAGTCGTGACTCGTGGTGCTGCTCTCAGTCGTCAAGCCCTCAGACGTGCTTGACAGAGTGGTGCTGCTGGTAGCGGTTGTAGTCGTGACTCTCGTGGTGCTGCTCCCACTTGTACTCCCTCCTCCCTTCTCCTTCTTTCTCCTCCTCACGTTCCTGCTTCATCAGGGGCAACGTTAGGGGGATAGCCTCAGGGGGGAACGTATCTCGCCCTTTTGCTCGCCGACAAGGTCCCGAAAGCCCTCCCCGCCCATTTCGCGAACTATCGAGCGCCTATCGGTGCCCTCTCGCCGATTCCAGGTTGATGTTTCCCTCCGAGCCGGTCCCCTCCTATCGTTCCTCCTCATTTCAGTTTTCCGTTTCTTTTCTGTCTCTTGTTGACAAGTTTAGAGCGCATTGGAATCCGCCCGCTTCTTCTCTGCCATTGCCAATGCGCCTTCGGACATCGTACACTTTTTTTGCATAGTCCCCAGGCCATTCCCCCTCCACTTTCTCCTCCCCACTCCCCATTCCTGCTTCCTCTGCTCCTGCTGGTGCTGCTCCTCTTCGTTCCAGTCCGCCTCCTGCCACTCCTCATCATTACGCGCATGTTCCAGCAGTTAACTTGTCTATTTCACTGCACTGCAGCAGTGCGCGCAAGCAAAGCAAATAGCCAGTGATAGGTTTGTGAAGGCCCGCGGTCGTTCCAGCGTGTTGTCCGTAGCGCTTTCGAGCTTTTCAAAGTGTCCGAGGTTTCCGCAGTTTTCTGGAGGAGGTGGAGGGGATGATGAGAAGTGGGGGGGAGTGGGGGAGGAGGAGGATGAGGAGGATGAGGATGAGGAGGAGGATGAGGATGAGGATAAGGATGAGGAGGAGGAGACGGAGGAGGAGGAGGAGGAGGAGGACGAGGACGAGGACGAGGACGGGGAGGATGGAATGGAAGAGGGACGGGAAGTATCCGAATCAATGGCTGAGGAACGGGAGCGGAGGAGCAGGAGGGGGACGAGGAGGATGAGGAGTAGGCGATGATGACGAGGTGGAGGAGAGGGGGGGGGTGATACGGTGGAGGTGGAAGTGGAGAATCGGGAGCCAAACAAGGAGGAGGAGGAGGAGGAGGAGGGGGAAGAGGAGGGGAAGAGGAGGAGGAGGAGAGGAGGAGGTGGAGGAGTCCGACGCAG